GGGCAAGAGAGAGACTCCTGCAGGCTGACTTGGGGTCCCACAATTTCATCTTTGCTCCAAAGTAACAGGCACTGGTCCAAAGGAGAGGGCAAGCGGAGAAGCTGGGTAGTTACCCAGACCATTGCGGAGGTAAACTTTGACCTGAATAGAGTGACCACTGAGGGCCAAGCCCCGCTGCCTCCCCTCCGCGCAGCCGGCCCTCGCTCTACCTTTCCCGGGCCCTAGCGCTACCCAGAGCCGTCCTCGAACCCGCAGAAGCTCCAGGACCAGGCGCCGCCGCCCCAACTCCTGTACCGAGAGCCAGGCAGCTGCCATCCGCGCCCGAAGTTCGAATGTCTGGCCTGTGTCACCAACGAGTGCGATTCTGGCAACTTCCCGAACCTGTCACCTCAGTTTCTCTTAGCAGTAATAATAGCGTCTTTGTACAGCTGCTGTGAGAACTAAACAGGTACCAGGTATAGGAGTGTCGGACGTGCAGTGTGGGCTCAAGAAACGTTAGTCAAGACCAGGGGTCCAAGAAGTTACATGCCCTGCGCGGGTCTCCGGGCCCAGAGAAAGTTTCCCCGCAGACTCGGCCAACAGTGAGCTTTTGAGCGGGGGAGAGTGCCAGGCAGGGCCGATCGATCGACGCAGGGCTTGGGGAGGCCCTGGAGGAAGGGGACGGAGGGTGGGCAGCCCTGCAAGGTCACCATGGCCACCCTGGATCCTGGCGTTCACCCTGTCACTCTGCAGCCCCAGGGTGGGGGCTCAGGTCTGGCTCCCCATGGGCCATGGAGATGAGGCTCCCCAGAGGAAGCCCCAGAAACTCAGGTTGGTTCTGGGGGGGGGGGGGGGGACTGGTGCCCTGGACCGGCAAAAATGGAGTCCTCCGAGCCGAGGACTACCAGGCCTGACAGGTATGGATGGCTTTGTCGCCTGCGGTGCTCCAGGCTCCGGGCTTCTGTTCTAGTCAAGGCGGCCTGCTCAAAGGGACTAAGTAGGGTTACCCAGCCTTGGGGCCCCCCAGCTGCAGCTGCACCCTCGCCTCGCGGAGATTGGTGTTAGCCTCAGCAGCTCGCGGGCTACTCAGTCCCACACTGCGGGACATCAGAAGCTTGGTTCTCCCCAGGCAGGGGGCGCCCTGTACTCCTCCCCACAGCCACCAACGCCAACTGAGACCCGCTAGCTAGGGAAAGAGATGAACTTTGCTCTGGGGTAGTGTGGGCCTCGGACAGCTCCTGATTTAGCCCAGGCAGAGGCAAAGGTTGCAATCATGCTAAAGAAGCCCTCTCTTTAGGTGCTTGGCTTTGTGCTGATCTCTTGGAGTTGAGTCCTTCCAAGAAAGGGTCCTTTTGGGGCATCAAGTGGCCCCTCTAGGGCCTTGAGAGGCAGGCTTTCTTTGAACCCATCTACTGTTAAGAAGAGTCCTGCTGGTGACTCCATTGGAGGGGCAACCAGTCTGTTCTTCTGCACTCCGGTGAAACCCTGACACCCTATAGAATACATTTCTGAGCTCCAGCCTGAGTCACTTATAGAGTTTCAAGAAAGGATTCCCACGAAGCTACACAAAGGGCTTTGGCTCTGTGATGGTCAGCGGCAGGGCCTTTTGGAACCAGGTTTGGGTCCACTTCGATCTTCCCCTGGCTCAGGTGACCCTGAGTCCTTTCCCTCTCTCTCACCCAGTGGCTAGCCAGTGGTAGCTCCAGGAACGAGGACTAACTCAAGAGAGGTCGGATCTAGCAGGGAAACAGCAGTCTGTTCTACCTCCAGTCCCAAGTACTCTAAGGGGTGGAGAGCTCAGGCATTGCCTTGCTTTCCTGGCTCCCCAAGTGCCCTGCCTACTCACAGGATCATGCACACACCAATGCACCCAAAGATAGCCTCTCTCTTAGGGCATGCATCTGCTCACTGTATACACCCCACTGCAGTGTTCTCACCCTTTCTTGTACAATTTTTCCCATGCCTTCTCTCATCCCTAATCTATCCACCCACACAGTGCCATCCCCACCCTCTGCCTTCAGCATCCTCTAGGCAGCTTTGAGTGCCCAGAAGACTGAAGCCATAGAGCTGGGGTTAGAACATGCAAAAAGGAAGGGACTCAGGCAGGTGTCCTACTCCACCTGGGTCCTTCCTCACCAGACTCTCAACAGAAAAAATATTCACGTCTCTCTCTTCTCAAAGGAGACAGTGCTGGTGGGGGTCTTGGAGGCCAAATTCCCTACACCCTGATTCCTATGCCCCAACTTGGCTGGCCTCTGGTTTTCTCAAGGGCCAAGACAGTGTTTCTTAAAATGACTAGGACGACCAAGGATCAAGTAGTAGTACTGCAGTCTCTCCCAGATCTCCGTTTAACCTCACTTGGTGTGGCCTGACATCACCACTTGCTACCCAGGTGGGTAACCTTTGGGGTAGGGACTGGAGGGTCCTGGCCAAAGTCCTCAGGATGTCCAAAGGGTACAGGGGGGTGGACTGAAGGAACAAACTGCACTACAAGCCCTCCACACTCCCTTCTGTTTCTTGTAGCTCTGAGCTTTGAAGTCCCCAAGTGGATTTGTTTTTGTTGGGTCCAGCAAGCTGCCACCAATGACTGGGTTCTACTTTCTTCATCAATTTTAGCCCAAGAAGGCTCCATGGACCCAGGATCTGGTTGTTAACAAATGAAGGATGTCTTCATTTCTGGTGCAGTTAAAGGGTCTGAAAGGCAGACTGGGGTTCCATAGTTACATCCCTTTAAGTTCCAGAGCAAAACTTGGTGGCTTCCGTGGCTACCCAGAACCTCAGGTGGGGTGGACAGGAGAGGGCAACTGGCTGCCGAGACTCCTGTTTCATACATGCTGACATGAGTGGCTGTATTCATCCTGAAAGATCTTTGAGAATATTGTGTTCAGTCAGCAGGCTCTAGTGCAGCCAGCAGCTCAACTGGCTCATAGGCTTTCTGCAGTGGGAGAATAGCTACTCAGATTTCTCAAAACTTCTGCTTAGTTTCTCCCACCCGGTTTAAATAAATACTTTTGGGGTTAGTGTCCAGAGGAGAGAGAAAGAAGGAAGTTGCATCAAGTTGTGCCACTTTGAAGAATTTGCTTTACCAAAGAAATCCTTAGGACAGGAATCCCACCCCCTACTGGCATGTGAGAGCTGCAGGCAAACACCAGAGATCCCAAGGACCCCACTGGGTGGATGCTAGAGGGGGTGCCTCAGTGGGATCCCGGATGGGCTGCCACCTGGAGCTGGAGCTGGGACCAAGCAGCTAGGTGCTGAGATCTTCCCTGGGCAGGGTGATGGGCAGGGACACCCACGTGTGGTTGTGGATTTGCACACTTTTGGGGGGAGAAATGTGTGTTGGTGTGTGTGTGTGTGAACACACAAGCTTGGAGAGGTTCACACATATATCTGGGGGGGAGACTGCCAGAGGACAAGTGTGTGTCTGGAAATGGATTGAGGGTCTGTGTGTGTTTGCTTATGTGTTTTGTGTGCTCGTAGGTGTGAACATGTGTGTGACAAGTGTGTGTTTCCCTAGGTGTCCACTATCTGTGATAAGTTAGAAGTTTGATAGCGTGAGAAGTTCTGGTGTCATCCAATAGGCGTGGAACATCATGAATTAAATTAATTTTAAGTGTGTATGTTCATATCCATGTGAAAGTTAATACAAAGCCTGATTTCCAGTGATTGTGGGACTGGAAAATAGGGGGTAGGGATGATTCAGGGCTCAAAGGCTGCTGTGTTTCCCTCCTTCACCCAAGAATAAGTAGGGCAAGTGGGGCTCTGGCACAGGAAGGGGCATCCCCACGCAGTCTGGCCCACCGGGCTGATGCATGGTGACCTTCTGAAATCACTCGGGTTTCCATATCTTCAGGCAGTAGCTGCTCCGCTCTTCACCCTTTCGGTTGGGCCACTCAGGTCCTACAAACACTGACCTGTTCCTGGAGGGACCTGTGCTGTCCCTGATGCAGTGCCTCCAGGAGAGACCTCGGAAACTGCCGGGGCTGGAATTTCTCTTGCAGTGCCAGAGTGGATGGGCGCGGGGTGCGGGTGCAGGCAAGGACTCCGGCCTCCATGAGTAGCCCTAGCCTCCTGGCTATCCCCTCGAACTCCAGGAGCAGCCTCCAAGGCTGTTAGGCCACCTGAGTTCGTGCAGGGAGAAATCTTTGATATTTAAAAAGTCCGAGAGAAAAGACCTTTTGACTTTACCCCATTTTATCAGAAAGCGCTAATTTTGCCTAAAAGGACAAATCCCAAGAGGTCCCAGGGATCTAGGATCTCTATCCTTTCCCATTCAGGAACTGCATGCAGGCTTGGCCCGTGCATTCTGGTTTCGGAAAGGGGATGTGGTCGGTACTACAGCCACTTCGAACATGCTCTGAAAAGCCTCAACTTGCTCCTCAAAGAGGCAGCGGGTCGGCTTGGAAGCGTAGGTTTAAAGGGGTCAAGAACCCCAGAGGGGAGGCGGTGCTGTAGGTTAATATCAGCCAAAGAAGCACCTGCAGGGTGCACCGCACACGAGGCATCTCCTCGGCCAGGTCTCCCCCGCCTCCAGCCAGCGCAGGCTCCCGCTTGTTCCTTTCTACTACAGGCGCACGCCTGCCACCCCTGCCCGCCTCCTCTGACTTCTTTCTCCCTGTCCTTCACCTCCACTGCAAACCCACACACGCGCCCAGAGCAGGTTTGAGAGAGCAGAGAACTTTGCCCACTGGCTGAGGCCCTGGAGTCTGACTCTCAGCTGCCCCTGGGGCAAGAGAACCAGCACAGAGTACCCCCAGCTCCGGCGACTGCGACCAGGACACGAAACTTCAGCGGCAGGATTTGTTTTCCAACCTCCCAAACTCCAAAGTACATACCTGTGACCCCCGGCTCATAGCTCTCCTCTCCCACCCCAATCGCCCAAGAGGAAAAAGAGGCTGGCCGGGCTTCTGGCGCGCGGACAGGTTTGGGAAGAAAGAGGCCACCCCAGTCCCCGCTTCTGCAGGGAGTGTCCGGGGACCGAGAGCTTCAGGGACAGAAGTTTCGCAGTTTTCAGTGGGAATGCGGCTTTCGGGGACTCACCAGAGCGTCGCTGCTCAGAACGGTCCACCCGGGCTGCCCAGTTCCCGTGGGGAAATCACACACTGCTGCATCCCCGGCCTGCAGGCCTCGTGGCGTATATCCATATATATATTTATGATTTCTAATTTTATTATAAAATAAAAGCAGAAATATTTCCCGAAGAACATTCACAAGAGGGCACGACAGGGAAACGGCACGTCCGCGGCTCGGGAGGCACGCTCTGCCCGGAGCGCGGCGGCCACAGTCCAGGTATCGAGGAGAGCGCAGCGCGGTGGGGCCTCAACCGGGGCCAGAGGCGGAGGCCAGCGGGCCGGGCCTGGGCCTTTGGGGACTGCGACTGCAGGACGTCGCCCCTTCCTTTCACTTAAATTAGGAGGCAAAAAGCTGACACCTGCAGCGCCCACTGACGGGGTGGAGCCTTCGGGGAGAGCCTTTGGAGAGGCCTAGGGTCAAAGGCCCTGACTCCTTTCTTCCTCCCGGACACGGGAGAGTAAGTAAGGGCTAAGAGGGGCAGAAAGTCTGAGGGTACAGATTAAGAGGCGGCATAGAGCGCAAGAGATCGCAGGACATGAGAGAGCACAAACCAGAAATGCAGAAATCTAGAAGGAGAAAAATAAAGTGAGGAGGAGTTGGAGGAGGAGGGGTAAGAGGAGGAGAAGAGAGAAAGAATGGTGTATAATTTATTCCTTTCTCTGTTTGAAGACCGGCCCCCAAAGGATCTCAAAAGCTAGGTGTTGGAAATAAATTCCGAACCAGAACCCAGCGCAGTCCGCTTCACCTGGGCCTGGCCGCAGGTTCTACCCGCCCTGCGCGCCGGTCTTTCAATACCTGATGGGGTCGCCGGCGCGGGGCGCCCTCCCTCACCGCCTCTCTCAGGTCCTCAGCGCCGAGCCCGGAAGGCCGGCCGACGCGCGGAGGCGGCAGAGCTCTAGGAGCCCAGGTCCACGAGGTTGGCCGACATGGGGTTGAGGATGGAGTCCTGCAGGCCATGGTGGTGCTGCAGGGGGTCTGGGGCTCCGCCGGGCACGGGCACCGGCACCGCGCTGGGGCCAGGAGGGTGGCCCAGGCTGTGCAAGGACGGTAGCCCGGGGGGCGGCGGCGGACTGAGCAGCAGCGCCGGGCTAGACGATGAGTGGTCTGGCGTCCCTGAGGGCGTCTTCTCGTCCTCCGAGCTGCCTAGCACCGACTTGCCGCTGCCGTTGAGCGAGGAAGCCAGAGGGTTATGGCTGTTGGAATTGGAGTTCTCACTGTTCTCCCTGCAAGTGCAGGAGCAAAGCAGCCGTCAGAGGGGAAATTGAGGCCGCTCAGCATCATGTCACCTAGAGCCAGAGCCTGGCCCACTCAGACTAGGGAGACAGAGCCGCTGCTGGATGGCTGCTTTCAGGACTTTTCCGCTTCTACCCCTTTCTTGCCTGGCCTCAGGTAATCCTTTCTGCCAGTCCTAAGGACCTCTGAACACTGATATCTGTCTTGGCCCTCTCCTGTACCTATCTCCACCTATGCTCTCAATCTTATGACTATTTTTCCTGCTCTATATCCCCATTTCTTTGCTGGAAAAGAAGCAGGTCAGCAGGGCACCCTGGAGATTAGGAGTGAACAAAGAGGAAGAAAAAATCCAGGGGCCAGGCGAATGAGGGGCCCTAACTCAAGGGCTGAAGGACCCACATGAAGTTGGGCATCTTACTGCCCTTGCTTTCTTTTTATTTTGTTCAGCCTGAGGGGAAGCCCAGGGCTGGGGACAGGCTCTTGAGGGCCCTTTCCCTTAAATCCAAACTGGGTAGGCCCTGGAAGGGCAGTCGCTGCTGGGACTAGGGCCCAGGCTCCAAGGATAGTTTCTCTTTCCCTAGTGGCATGGTTACCACACTCCAGCCATTGGTCTAGGACAGGAAGCTGGAGTGTGTCGGGTAGACCTTGGGAGAAGCAAGTAGGAAGGAAGGAGCTTGTCAGTCCTGGACTAGACTTTCCCATCATAACCAGAAATGCAGGGACTGGATCGATAGCTTTCACCTGTAGCCTTCAGGAGAACATGGTTCTTCAGGGGCCTGGACTTGTGCCAGTCTGGGAGGAGGGTGACCCAGCACAGAGAACCCCCCACCCCTGACTAGATCTGGGTATTTGAAGTCCTGGTCCTGGGTAGAATGTCTATCTATCTATATCTATATCTATCTATCTATCTATCTATCTATCTATCTATCTATCTATCTATCTATGGAGGGGGAGAGGGAGAGAGAGAGGGAGAGAGGGAGGGAGAGAGAGAAGGAGAGAGAGAGAGAGAAGGATTTGTCCAGGGCCTTTCCTTCCTGATTTTGGGAAGGAATCTTTCTTCAGGGCTGGCAGGTGAGACCTTACTGCAGTGGATATTCAGCCTCAAGGTCCAGTCTGCAGCATCCCCTCCCACCCCTGACCCGGATCATTCAAACTCTGGGCTCAACACATCCCATACCACCAACCCCAGGTGTCCTGTTTTGCTGTACCCTCAGGCTGGATTCTGTTCCCATGATCAATTTCTCTCATTCCCCTGTTCAGATTTGAAGTTTTGAGGGGTTATAGGGTGGGCAGTCTCCACAGCCCCACTGGTCCACCTTTAGGCTAGTTTAGGAAGGCCTGCTTTCCCCGAGGACAGACACTCCTAGCTCTTCCTTCTATAGCTCTTGGGTCAACCCAGACATACCGACCTACCCAGCAAACAGAGTAGAACCTGAGGAGAGAGGAGTCAAGGGTCTAGCAAGCCTGGAAGGGCTGCTGGGTCCAGCAAAGCAGAAAGAGGGGCATGTATCTTTCTTCTCTCCCAGAGCTGACTCTTCCTCTCTGGGGCCTTTCCATGCAGGATAAGGAACTGCCTTTCAACTCCCATATTCTTGCCCATGCTTTTCTCCATCCAGGGCCATCCTAGGGAAGTTCCAATCCCAGGCCTGACCCTCTAATCACAGTTTGGCTTGGAGGTGTGGAAGATCGAAGGGAAGAGAGGGAAACATAGCCAGAAATTCACAGCGCGCTTTTGCATGGGCCCCAACACTGTCCTCGGTCTTTCCCAAGATCAGGCTTACCCCGATGTGCCTCCCTCATTAGGGAGTCAGACCTACAGTTCTGCCCTTGCCCAGAAGCCTGCTGCATCTCCACTTCTTTCCACAGAGATCAGGGAGTTAGGTGACAGCTTCCCTAGTGTCACTTTGCCCGCTTTAGACAAATCCCAGCCCGTCCGCTCTCCAACAAGACCTAAGCGCCGGTTGAGTCAGGCGAGACTACAGTTGGATTGCAGCTGGGATTGTTGTCCAGTTTAGACCTCTCCTAGGGGTGGGCAGACCCCGAGGTGAGAGTCCCTCCCTGGGGTCTTGGGAAGCCGGTGCCGAAGTTCTACTTACTCGTACCTTTCCTTGGCCTCGGCCGCCCGATCACGCTGCCTCCGGTTCTTGAACCAGTTGCTGACTTGCGTGGTGGTGAGGCCTGTGGCCTCCGCCAGCTCTCGCTTCTCCCGGGGTGACGGGTAGGGGTTGTGCGCATACCATTCGCGCAGCACGCTGCGACTCTTTTCCTTGAAGCAATAGCTCGTCTCCTCCCCGTCCCAGATGGAGCGCGGCAGCGGGAACTTTCGGCGCACGCGGTACTTGCCCACAGCGCCCAGGGGCCGCCCGCGCAGCTTCTCCGCCTCGATGTAGTGCGCCTTGAGCCACAGCTGCTGGAGCTTGGCGTGATTGTGTGGGGAGAACTGGTGGCTCTCCAAGATCTTGTAGAGCTCGCGGAAGTTGCCGCGGTGGAAGGCCACCACGGCCTTGGCCTTGAGCACGCTTTCATTCTTGTGGAGGTGTTCGCAGGCGGGCAGCGACCACAGGAAGCGGCCCAACCGCTCGATGTTGCCGCCCTGCTGCAGCACCTCGCACACGCACGCCACTTGCTCCTGCGTGAAGCCAAAGGTGGGCAGCATGGACATGGTGCCGGCTGCGGCCCCGCCCGCCCGCGCGCGCCCTCACCGCTCCGCGCGGCACCGCATGGGCGCCCCACGCCAGCCGTCCGGGCCCGGCCGAGAGACGGGCGGGGCGGGCCCCCTGGTCTGGCGCTAGCTCCGGCAAAGTCCCGAGTCACTGCGGGGTGTCCTCGCGCCGGCCGCGGGTCCCGCGCCGCTCTGCGCCCCCGCCGTCCGCGCGCCTCTCCCGCGCCCTCGCCCAAGCCCGGGGGCCGCCCGGGGCGCCGCTCCGCATGCTCCGCGCCCGCCCGCCGCTCCCTCGCTCGCTCCTTGCTCGCTCTCCCGCCCGTTCAGCTCGCTCGCAGCTTTTTTAATAATATTATTCTAAGCGGGCATGAGGCGCGGCGGCCCGCGCCCTGATTGGTCCGGTTATCTGACCCGGGGCCTGCCCGCGCCAGACAATAGTCGAGTCAAATTATTCGCCATGGAGACGCTGTCAGTCACCGGTAACCCGAGCCCCGGCGGGCCGGGCGTCTCCCCCCGGCCGGCTCCGCTGACAGATCGCCGGGCTCCGCGCTGGGCGGAAGGCGGCCCGAGACAGGAGCCCCAGGCGCTACGAGAGCCGGGCAGGCAGAGAGGGGCCGGGAGGGGGCCTAAGGCGGCGGTGATTGACGGGGCGGACGCCCAAAGAGCAGGGAAGGGGGAGGAGGACGCGGGGTGGGGGCGGAGTGGGGACACGCGGAGAGGAAAAGGGGCGGACCAAGATGGGGGGAGAGGGTAGCAGGGAAGGCGGAGGACCGTTTAAGGGGGTGCCTGGCGGGTAGAGGAGGGCCAGGACTAGACGAGCCTCCCGGGGGAAGGAAATTTGGGCCGTGTTTTGCAGGGGGCCGCGCCGCACCCTCTCTCGGGCCCCTCCAGGTGGACCCCGCTTCACCTGGATCACCGGTCTCTCCCCGGGCCGCCGTTCGCGGACAGACGCGACTCTGGAGTGGCCCAGGGGACAGAGAATTTGGACGTGCCCAGGCGCCGCTCGAAGACTTGGCTTTTCCGGCTGACAGCGCCCCACCCCCCGGGTAGACTGCGGACCCGAGTTGTCCTCGAGGGAAAGGAGGAGGGAGTGGGGGACCCAGGAGAAGGCAGGTTCAGTGGCCGCAGGCGGACGCCAGAGAACCAACTTCCCGGAGGATCCCGCCTTTCCTCCCTCTCCCAGCCGGGCCAGTTGCCCCGCTGCCGGCACCGCCCCTACTCGTGCGTTCTGCTCCTCGCCGGGCGGGGACTCAGACTTAACCCCACGGGTCCCGGGGCTCCCAAAGCTCCCGGCATTTCTGTGTGGCCTCAGCGGCTACGCAAAACCGAGGAGCGGCACAAACACGCAGTCTGCGCACCGGCCTCCGAGGGGAAGCGGTGTCAGGGTGGTGGTGCCTCCCGGATGAACCCCCACGCCCAGCCTCGGCCGGCCTCCGCTCTGCGCTTGGGTAGGGCGCCTAGCCCGTCATTCCTGAGCTCCGGAATGAGGGCCTTAAGGAGAGTCCTGTGTTTTGCTAGTTCGTCAGTGTGGTACTGGTTCCCTGGGAGGAGGGTGCAGGTGGAGACAGGAGAACCTCGACGTGTGAGTGAGAAGTGTTTCTGCTGGGCTACGGTTTTGAAAAGCCCCGGGCTCAGCTCCATCCCCACAAAATGTCCTTTCCACTTCCTTGTTTCCTCTTCCCGCTCAGCTGTTGCTGGCCGGGCGCTCCCAGTGCTACTCAGACTAGGATCCGAGCTAGCAGATCCCAGGCTCTGCTCTCTGACTAGGGTTGTGGAACATTTCTTGGTCCCATTCCTTTCAGTTTTCTAGGAAGATCGTTCTAGAAGCCCCGGAATGGGAGTCCACAGCCCTGGTTTCAACCTTTGACTTTGCTTGATGTCTGGGCTAAGGGACTTATTTATTCCTTTTAAGTATAAGGCAGGGTTTCAAAAAAGTGTCCCTTTGCTGTAGCAAGTGGAAGCCCTTTGAAAGTGTTGCAAGCCTAAGAGAGTGGAGCCCCAGGGCTTCTTCCTGAGAGTTTAGCTCCTAGGGACTTAACCCCTTGCATTGAGGGCACAGCGCTGCCAAAGTAAGTTCTAAACCAGTGCCAAGAGGATAGTTCCCTGAGAAATCCAGATGGCATCTATGGAGTATTGTCTGTGAGCAGAGAGGACCCCTGAAGCAGCTGTTTGCTCCAGAGCCAGCTATGAAGACTCTGGGAGACCTGGGAAAGAGTTTATACTAATTACAGTAAGGTTTAGAGCCCACCTTCCAGACCTCCAACAAAGGGCAACCTACTCTTTCCAAGACCTCTTCTCAGCCACACAGGTAGAAGGATTCAGCTAGCCATGGCCATGTTACATCTCAGCAAGATCACGCAGGCTGGAGGTGAGCACTTGGTTGGGTGTGGGTGGGTTGGACCAAGCAGTTACTTCCAAGTCTGGTCAGCTTCATTTTCTCCCACAGTTAGGCCTGGGTGATGTGTTAATACCTCCTGGTTCCAGGCTGGAGTGGATTTAAGAACGCTAACCCTGAAAAAGTAAGTGATCTCTGTCACCTCAGCCCCAGCCTTCTCCATGAATATGCTCCTTCTTGGACTCTTGGACCTTCAAGATTGAACTTCCCCCCAGGACTAGGTCCTGTCCATGTCCAGTGAAGGCAGATATTCTGTATAAAGACTCCTTGTCCCTTCCAGTGCTGCCCCTTTGTGCTTCCTGACCCTGAGCCCAATAGTCAGTCCTGCCAGGAACCTCCAGGCAGCACTCAGTAGTTGAGACAGACCCAAGAGAGGGAACCTGCTGCCTTAGACAGTATAGTGTGTGTCATATGCAAAGTCATTAGACAGCAATAACTGAAATCCCATAGCACCATAACTCCATGTACAGGTGTGTGTCTTTATACCACTAGCTAGCCCCTCCTCCTGTGTATGTAAGAGACCAGTCTTAGCAGGTCTAGGCCAGAATCTTTAGACAGTAGGTGCTGCTGGATGCCTGCCCTAAGAGGTTAGAAGCTGAGCTAGAATGTCTTCACGTTCCTCAGTCCCTCCCTGTCTCCTCTGCCCCCATCTTTGCCACAGGACAGAATACTTAGTAGGTGTCCAGGTGAGGATTTGATAGATGCCAGCCTGACTCGGAAGATCATCTCAGCCTCCAGTTCCAGCACTCTTGAGTGGCTGCTTCAGCGGCCTTTGAGTGCCAGTGGCCCTTGGGTCCCTGCCACATCCATCTCCAAAATTCCGATCCTCTCTTCTCCCTTAAGGCCCACACCCAAGAGGCTTGCATAGATGTTTTATCTAGCACAACAAAGCAGCCTCATAGCCAGCGAGAAGAAAATGTGTGAGCCTGTAGAAATCTGGGCCTCGCTGCAATGTTTCCTTGCCCCTCCAAGCTGCCTGGAAGGCCCCAGGAGGTCAGACTTTCTGGCAGGCAGGAGCAGGGTGGGTGGGTGTTCCCAATGATCTCACGCTAACAGCGTGACTTTGCTCCTCACTTTTGGTCAGAGACAGTCTGAGCCTTTGTGTCTGGAGTTGGGCAGGAAGCTCACAGGACAGATCCCGAAGGCCATCGCTGACTTGAGCCATTGACCAGCCAAGGTGGGCGTCCACTCGCAGGGCTTCCGGAAAAAAGGCAAAAATCACACCAGCCTCCCAAGGGCTTCCCTCACTTCGGGTTGGAGCCATTTCGGAGGAAACGGGGTGTTCTGAGAGAGGACACTTCCTGGCTATTTCTAGGGGCCCTGGACAGGTTGGCCTTCGTTCCTGTCAAATCTGAATGTTTGTGACCTAGGGAAGAAAAAGGGGCTCTTGGTGGCAAATTAGAGAACTGGAGCTCCTGTGTGTGCATTTTAATCTCTATGTTTCCAGCCTACGAAGTCCATAGAGACCCTGCGCACTCAGTTCAGCCCGGATCCCGGACCTTGAGCCGCTGGGCGCCAGGGCGTCCTGGACCCGGAGCCGGTCGGGGACCCAGAGTCCCACAGCTCCGAGCGCGTCCTCCGAGCGCCCCCAGCCTTCTCCAGCCGCACGCTCACCGCGATCCCGAAGCCCGCTTGGGCCCGGGTGCTGCGGTTCGTTGAAAGCGGACGGGAGACGCAGAGGCTCCCGCGCCTGCCCACCTGTCCCCCACACCCGCGGGGTCTGTCTCCTCCGGGGCAGTTGCAGCCTGGCATTGCAAACCTCAGCACCCCTCTTCCCCAGGTTTTGGCGTTCCCCCAGGTTTGGGGTTAGGTCGAGGCGCTGGCAAGCAGCTCTCTTGAGTCCTCCAAATGCCCCGCCAGCCCGGGCACTCCTTCAGGCTCGGGACTCCGGTGGCTCTGGAAAAGGCGCGAACCTGGGCGTCGCCTGCGCTGCACGTGATGGGATCGGTCACAGGGCGCAAGGGCCGGAGAGCCCCTGAGTCCCTGGGCCTGCTGTCTCTGATCTTTAGCTGCGGCCCACGCGGCAGTCTGGAAGTCCCTAATGAGAAAACGGTTTGAAGGCCCCAGCCTCACGGGGGACCTTGTTCCAACGAAAAGAGCGAGCACAGGGGCTTGAGACCAGTTTGGGGGCCGGCAAAGCAGCCAATCGGTGCGGTATTGCCAGGATTGGAGGCGGGGACCTAGGCCCCGGAGCCGGGCCGCTTTCCCGCAGCCCTGGGTCCCGGCCCGCGGTCTCTGCTCCGTCCCGGGCGCCTCCCTACCACGCCACTCCGGGGATGGGCGTGGGGTGCGGGCGTGGCGAGCTGGGCATCCGGCAGGGCCCCGGTCTCGCGGATTTTAGTTCAGGAAGCCACCGAAGTATGCCGCCAGATTGTTGTTCCGGCGGGATGGTACAGTGGTTGTGCGTCGCTGTCCGGTCCACCGCTGGGTCTCTGCGCGAGCTCCTCCAAGAGGCAGGTCCCCGAGTTGGGGTCGGCAGGTGGGTTTGCGGTGTCGTCTCCCCAGCCCCCCCGCGCCCCGCCCCCCCCCCCCCCCCCCCCCCCCCCCCCCCCCCCCCCCCCCCCGGCACTGACCAACCACCTACGACCGGGCACAGAAGGCACGCGAAATGGGACGCGTCTGTGAGGAGCGCTACACACGCCGACACGGCCCGGAGAAGCAATAGGTTGCCACACAGGGTCTGATCACAAGATTCTTGGGGATCAGGCACTGACTTTTCTCCGTAGCGTGTTTTCCTTGGATCGTTTTGGGGCCCAGGAAATGTTTGAAGAGATCCCTGAAGCAGTGGGGGTTGACTTACAGCAACAACTGGAAAGTGACCTGG